CCCTCTGCCCCAAAAGTTTAGATGAGTTGTCGCTGTGAACAAGATACCAAAGTGTCTCTGCTGCCTTTGTGCGCGGTACCCCAGCAAGAGCTGATAATAGGGCTGAAAAGCGTTTCTGATAAATGAAGGCACTTAAAAGAGTTCTGTCAAGGGTTTTTAGAAGATGTGATGTGTCTCATCTGTGGGAGTTGAGCTGCATGGAAATAAACTATTAGAGGAAGTAAGTGTCTTTGCTCTTAATGGAAAAAGAAGAATCATAACTTCTTAGCAGGAGTGACAGAACAGTTTCACTGTCAAGACTGCTGATACTGAAGTTGTAATCTTAAATACAACAATCTGGGTTCCTATTCTTGCCATTAGATGTAATCAATAACAATTTCAGTAAATACGATCTTTTGCTGCAAGTCTACCCTTCCTTTATTGAGAAATTGCTAAATTTTTCATCTGGGTCTCTTCTCCTACCGCAGGATTACTGGCCTGAAAGGCAGGAAAAACAAACTTCAGTAAATCTCTTGTAGAGTTATATTTGTGTAGGGTGGCTGTGCTTGTTCACACACATGCAAAAAACAAGTTCTTCATCCATCCAGGGTTTTAATGCTCCTTCTAAAGCTGCTTGTTAGTGATCGTTGCCTGCTCTTCCGTGGTGTGGTGGGCCGGCCTTGGCCAGCTGCCAGGTACCCACCCAGCCGCTCTCTCGCTCCTCCTCCACAATGGCATGGGGAAGAAAATAAGATGAAGAAGCTCATGAGTTCAGACAAAGACAAGGAAATTGCCAGTTACTGTCATGAGCAAACCAGACTTGACTGGGGAAGGTGAAATTTATTGCCAGTTAAAATAGACTTGAATGGTGGGAAGACAGAAAAAAATTAAAACATCTGCCCACGTCCACGGGTCTGGATATCAGATGGGATTTCACTGAATCGAGATGGTGCCCCGTCGTTCTCGCCCTAGCGGCAGGCAGGGAGGACCTGTCCCCAGGAACTGCGGCCATGGAGGATGCCGTCTGGCTGGATGCTGGTGGGTTAGGGTGTTGGTGTCTGACACTTGCAGATGCTTTGCCAGCTCAGCCTGTGGTGCTTGTCCCTGAGGGAAAGTTGTTTCGTGTCCCTAATTGCAGACTGGCTACATTGGTGGCGGGCACGAGGCACCATTTTGTTTTTCAGCCCTGAGGCAGAAGGGTGGTTCCCTGCCTGTGTTCAGTGTAGATTAGCTGGAGCTGGGCACTGGGATCAGGTGACTAATCACCTATAGACTGACTAATTAAGCAATAGGGTAGGATAATGGCATGTTATGGCTTACCGGTGACATGCCTCAATGGGTGGGCAAGCAGCTGAGGGCCAGGCCCTGCTGAGCAGCTTGAGGAGACCTGGCGCCATGGAGTGCCCTACAGTAATGGCGAAACACCCATTTCATGGAAGACATGTCAGATTTCTTCATCTGATGGTGAAGAAATAATCGGGCACAAAGTTATTTTGGGGGAGAGTCCCCGGATTAAACCATTAGTGATTTTCAAGAAAACCATTTAAACCCCCACCATAACAGATTTCTGTTTTAACCCGTGAGGAGCTAAAAAGAGTGACCCAGATTCCTGTAGAGACTCTTCTCTGAGCGGGGCTGGAGGTGGAGGAGGCCTGCTGCTTTCACAGATAACGCCAGGGCCTGAGTAACCTTGACATTTAAAGGGGGGAAAATTGATTTCCTTTATCAGCTGGTTGAAATAGGAAATTGCAGAAGGAACAGAAGAAGCTCTGGGAGAGACAGTATTTAAAAATACTGTGTTACTATGCTTTGAAATTGGCCTTACATTGCAAAAGCACATCTTAAGACAAAGACATCAAATTCCACCTGCTGTTTCTTTGTGTTTAAATTGAGAAAGTAATACATGTCGAATCAAGGAGGAAGTTTTATGGCTCTTTTAGTGTGTGGTTTCCACCACCGTTAATATTTCTCTTGATGGTCTCTTTGACAAAAGCAAGAACTATTATTGCAAATGTGGAGGCGAGACAGCAGGGCTGCAGTGCTCAAGGTGGCACATGAAGAGGCCTTGGAGAAGGAGCTGCTCCCCAGGCTACTGGAGCCTTGCAGTATTTACAGCACTAGTTTGATTCCTGTGTCGTCTCCTTGATTTGTCCCCAGAAGAATCACTAAATGGCTTCCTTGCTTCCTAGGTGCTGGAGGTGGGATAAAACCCCAGTTATTAGATCCTGTGAAGTGGTAGGCGTTATGCACTTCTGCTGTAGGTAGGACTCGGGGCGGGGGGGTTGGTTTCAGCAGGGATGTGGCAGTGGAAGTGTGTTTTGGAAAAGCTCAAAGGGATGACAGAATTTATGTGCAAGACTTGAGTTGTGTGTTACTGAGAGAAAGATGAGCTTGTGGATGTGGCTTCAGCAGGGAAAATCAAAAGCAAATTCTGCTGGAACACAAATAAAAAAACCTCTTAATTTTCAGCTGAGTTAATTAGAGAGAATTCAGAGTTGCAGAAAACAGATCAAGATACCACAAGCTGAGCAGATAATGCAGGAATTCAGGTCCCTGGTGCAAAACTGCTGAAAGGTTTTCTTTAACAATTGAACACTACCCTCTCTAAAAAAAAAAAAACAACACACAGCACCCAAAACCCCTCAAAAAACAACAAAGCCCACCACCCAAGTTGTTACTTCAGTGACATTTAAAAAAACAAAGCTGCATTTTCCTACTGTTCAAAATATCAGGTGCTTTTGGCCAGTGTAGGAATGACCCGGTGAAGAGAGTGCATTGATTTCAACCAAGCAAACATAGCAAACTATTTAAGTGAGCTGTTACAGCTTATTTAAGTAGACTTGGCTTGAAGAAAATGACATTTTTAAAGACAAAGAATAAATAGTCCTGGAAATGCGTGGTGACTATCCCAATTTTGCTTGCTTTGTGGCCACGCTGGCCACAAAAAAAAAAAAGTTTTCTTCCTGAGCTGTGTTTTGATAGGAGTGTCTTAAGCTTCCCTGTGAAGCAGCTAAAGGCAAGGCTGGTGTCAATCTCCTGCATGCCATCAGGCACGTTTAGCTGGATAATACACCACCAAGATGGAAGCATAATCAGGCTGCTTTGGTATCCTCTGCTTGCCGGCTTGCGTTTTGCTCGAGAATCCAGTAAAGCCTTAGGCCGTGCTGTTAATTGTCAGGGCTTTCAGGGCTCCTGGCATACACATGCATAATGCATATATGGCATACAGACAAATACTGAGAGATGAGATTCAGAGTAGAGGATTTCAGTAAGGCTAATGGGTTTAAGGAAATAGCGTGTTTTTCTCGTTTCAAATAATTGGTGGGTTTCTTTCATTTTTTCAATGTCTGACACTTTTGCTTAGCACAAAGCACTTTATATTCTAGGTCTCGCCACCCAGATAACTATTTTCTCTAAAAATTCCCACTGGCTCTGTTGTGTGTAGGTATAATGAGGTTTTATGAACACCTGTTTTACGTTAGGGTGTTTTGCTGTGTGTGGTGTATTTTTTTTTTTTTCCTTTTAGCAAAAAACCCACAAACTTTGCTGAAAAAATAAGTAGAGTACCAGTAGGCTTCCCACTGAATGTCTGGGAGCTGCCTTGCTGGTGTGGACCAAGGAGCTGGAATTTGGCTGTCAGCTTTTGTAGAGGGGGCTGTCTTTGCCTGAAGAAGACATGGCCTCCCATGGTGGTGTGGGCAATGAATTTTGTTTTACTTACAAAAACCAGACCAGCTTATTGGGGTGGATTGAGTTTGCTACAAGCAACTGCACTTGCTTGCAGCCTCTTCCAGTCAGAGCTGGGGTAATGTTAGCCTTGAGGATCGGCCTTACGTGAGTTTTATTGTGTCGTTGCTCTGGTAACAGCAAGTCTTAGGCATTTATTAAAGGAAGCAGGGATATTTTATTTTACTCTCTAGACTCCAATCAAAGGGAAATTTTGAGGTTTCTTTCTACAACGGTTTTTGCTGTTAACAGAAAATTTGCACTGGCTCTGCAGAAAGCACGTTAACCTTTTTCTGGTCTAAAAAGGATGATTTTTTTTTTTACCATAAAAATCAGCGCTACTTTTTTTTAACTTTGGAAAATAAAGATCAGACCTTGCAACACTTGGTGTCCATTTTCTAAATGAAAACCTGGGCTTTTAACACCATTTTGAAAAATGGGGAAAAAGTTTAGAGGAAACTTGAAACCAAGAAGAATTAAACATTCTTAAAAACTTTGCATACGCTCAATGCCACGCTGCTTTATCAGCTTCAATTCAGAAATCATCTCTGAGGTCATTCAGGACTGTTTTGGAAGCAGGTCTTGCAGTTATAGGGCAGCTGTTGGGTAAGTTTGTTGTCTTATACTCACTCTGCCTTTGCTGAGCCTGATTGCTGAGTTACCTTGAGATGGTATTTGAGGTAGTCTCTTGGTTAACTCAGACCTTTATTGTAAAGGCTTTTAAAATAATTTTATTTTATTTATTTTTTAAAAAAGAAGATGGGAACCTGGTAATGACACAGATAATCTGTTCGTAGAGAAGAACAACTGGGCTCCTCCCTTTGGTTTTAGGAGCTTCTCTGTACGTGTTCTTACAATATCCTAGCACCCCACTTCTACTACATTTGGTTTTGCTCTGTCCATCCGAAGTAAGACGTTTCTTTTCTCTGCTTCAGTTGAAATCCCTCTTGTTGCTCAGTGTTTCTGTTTGGAAAATCTGCAAAGCCTCCTCAGAGGACCTACTGTTTCATCTGGATTCAGAACCAGTTGATGTCCTGTCTGCTGGGACTGGTGTCTAAGGATGTGAGGGAACTTGCTGGGAAAATACACTTTGGTGTTAATGGATTAGGATTTAGTAAAGTCTTAGTTATTGCTTTACTTCTAGTTTCTTTTAATCCGGAGTATCAAAACTAGAATGCTCAAATTAAGTATTCATTATAGAATGTTCAAATTAAGTGTTCATTATTGTGTTTTGTTTTTCTTGCAGGGAAGTTATCCAGTGTGGGAAGATTTTATAAATAAAGCTGGGAAACTGCAGTCTCAGCTTCGGTAAGTTTTGTGTTGCACAGTCAAGATCCCCTACAACTCCTTGTATGTGCAAATACCAAGATTAAATGCAGCTTCTACCAGGATAATTTGCTAAGCATGTCCTAGTAAAATTGTGCAGATTTCATAGTCAACACCCATGCATGTAAGTTTTCACGTACTACTACTGCTGGTTTAATGTATTTAGGAAAATACATAAGCTACCACCAGCTGTATATAATAAACGTAAAATGAGCTAAATTTCATGGTTTCTGATGGAAAACTGGAAAGATAGTTTATTGTTGTTTAGTGAACACACATTTGGAGTTAGCCCTATGTTGTCCTTTTTATTAGTGTAGAATACAGCAAATTTATATTAGAAGAGGGCTCAAAATATTAAAGGGTCTTTGGTAGACTTAACAGCACTTTTTTCTGCCTTAAAAACTAAAGGAATTCCTGTGCTGGATCATTTATCAGTGATTATTAAAACCTATGTTACTGGGGTATACTTTGCAAAAGGCATTCTGGGTTACTTAGTAAGTGCCATAAGTATCACACTCAGACAAATTCTGTTATCTCTAGAATTCATTCACTTGTAAAATTTGTTTCTACTAACAAGAATCCAAGCTCCATTTCTTCACAACTCCGCCTGAACCACAATCTGTGCTATGCTCTCCAGAGCATCAGTGTTTTTTTCACAGCAGCAGCAATGGTAACAGGTATGATTATTGGCAGTCTATCTTGTGGTTCTGCCTTGCATTGTGGACTGTTCCTGAAGAAGCTAGGGTTTAGGCTTATTTGCCCTAAACAGCTGGAATATGCTATTCTGCCACGCCGTGCCTAAAATATCATGCTTGCATGTGGTTTTTCCATTTCCAGCAGTCATGCCACATTGAGTGAGTGTGGAAGAAGCAGAGGAAGTAGAGAAAGAAGAGAAATGGAAAACTTTCCTAGCCCTTTGTACTCTTTAAACACAGACCTTCTGGGAAGGCATGAGGGATAGTTTGTTTATTCCCCAGTCCTGTGGTGTTGCATTCAATCAATGTAGTGCTTTTCTAGCTACAGGAACGTGCAAGCAGGCAGCTTGAAAGCCTGTGTTAGAGGATTTGCTGTTCATTTCTAGCCTTTTGCCTCTGGTTCATTTCTGTGTGCTCTGATAAAGGAGAGCAGATGTCATCTGAGCTGGAGCCAGGTCTTCCTGGATCTTGTTACTGGAGAAATGGAACTTTGTTATTAGCAATATAATTAATAATTAACAACATGGTACACAAATAACAGCATGACCCACCAGTTTGGAAGAAGAAGAACACAAACACTGTTAAGGAAAATCCCAGAAAAGGTTATCTGGTTCCGGGGCTCAATATTGCTAGCTAGCTGTCAGGGCTTTTTTTTCCCTCCCTTTAATCTCCTGGGCACGTGGAGGGTCCTTATGCATTTGGTTGGTCCTCTCAAGCCTGTTGTGTTTGGGGTTTTTTTTGGTGTTCAAATCTTTTGTGCTGTCAGTAGGCCATTTACTACATTACTGGTTATGTCCTCTGTATCTTGAGCATATTTGGAGTGAGACTTGCATAAAATCTGACCTAATTAAGCAGTCCTGTGGACTTTCTGGCAGAGGATCAGCTTTCCTGCAGGTCTCCTGGGGTTTTCTGAGGGTAGCGAGGAGCCCTTGAAACAAAGTGAAGTTGACGGTCCTCCTTCAGGATTTTGCTTGGAGAAACTGACTGTTGCCATCAGGAGAGGAAATCAGAGTTACCGTTAGAAAAGATGTGCAGAAACAGAACCACAGGGTAACTGTGGAGAGGGCACAGTTGCAGTTTACCTGTAGAACCCTGGCCTACTTTCACTTAAATTGGGTCAACCAGACTATAAACCATCAGAAATCTGGTACCAACCTGAGGCATTTAGGGCTTTGGGGCCTGCTTATGTAGAACAAACGTGTTCAGAAAATTGTAACTCACGTTTGCCGTCTGCTTGAACAGACGTGTGGTCTTTATGTGCTTTCCAAACCTGGAGGGAGATGGAGCTAGCAGGGTTGACACTTTGGATTATGGAGTCTGAGATTGCTGGTGTACCTCTCAGGAAGAGACCTGGTTGGAGGAGCACTGGATCAGAAAGGCGTTTTGTTTATTTTGAGAGTTTGGGGGTTATGTTTGTGGTTTTTGTTTTTTTTCCTTGAAGTGGATATTTTTTTTCTTATTTTCCATCTTTTCCATTTGCCTAAGAACTCCAGACCAATCTGATTTCCAAGAAACTTCTATTTTCTGTTTCAAGGGATGCTCATGCTTCTTGGATGAGAAATTCAGGAAAGTGTTTGGCCAGGATCCTAGATAAAAGGAAGGTCCTGCATGCTTATTCTTAAAATACACATGTTCCCTGGAAATAGCAGTGGCTGTAATTTGTACACTAATGGGTGCAGCATAATGTGTGTTAGATTTGTTTTTCATGTTTGACTGCTTAATGTTAGTTCATCAGAGGAAATCAGCTAGAAGAGGGATGTCTGTGCTCTTTTGAAACAGCACCTGTCCTGTGCAATTCACAGCATGGAATTAGCGTGACTGCCTCCAAGTCCATAGTACTAACACAAAGCGAGGAAGGGATTAAGAAATGAAGGAGGGAAAAGGCTAAAATCGGATATAAAAGAGGATATTTTTTTGTGGCCCTTGCAAGTTCACAGTGGTATTCTTTATAAACCTAAATGTTTTTGGCAATAATTAAATAGGCAGCAATGAGACACTGCTAATGTTTTGTTATCTGTATGCATTTCAGGACTACAGTAGTAGCAGCTGCTGCCTTTTTGGATGCCTTTCAGAAAGTGGCTGACATGGCTACTAATACACGTGGTAAGCAGATGTGTCAATATTGAGTTTAACAGAATGCTGTGTGGTTTATACCATTTGTCGTAATAAAAAAAAGTCTAACTTGTTACATTGACAAGCAGATCTTTGAGACATCTGTTAGATGGACTTGCACTTTGAAAAAGCGGCACGTGAAAAAGGAAGTCATCTTTACTGAAAAAAAAATGCTGGAAACCTGTAATTTAAATGTGTCATCAATCATATGAACGCTTCTTAATTACCATTTGAATTATATGTTGATGAATAATATTTTAGAAAGCAAGATTTACTGAAATCTGTATTCACTGACACTTCTGTACCTTAAGTAAATGTAAAAGGCTTGATATTCAGCTGGTATAAATAAATGTAGGGTTGCTGAAGGCAAAGCTGATACCAGCTGATGCTGTGGTCCTTGGGGTCTGCAAATAATGGTGACAGTAGCCTGTACTTATCTGCTTGAGGAAAGGCTTTGCTTGTCCTTCCTCTTTTTTAAGCCTGACATTACTGGTCAAAATTAATTTTCCTGGGCTGTGGGCTTCTCTGGGTAACAGTCTAAGCTTCTTGGTGAGTATGGAGGCCAAAATAGTACAGCTGGCAATCTTTCCAGGCTGCTGAGTTGGAAGGAACCAAAAGACTGCTCTCTGATGTTGGATGCCCAGTGACCAAGGCATTGTGTGCAGATGTCCCTGCAGCAGTAGGGCATTCCCTGTGGTCAATGTGTCCCTGGGCTCTGTTGCTGAAGAGCAAATCCGAAGTGCATATATCGCTACTGAGTGAGTTGCTTTTGGTCACCTCTAACCGTAGAGGTTTTGTAATGTTGTGGTGGTTTTTATTTTTTAAAGTCCTAATATGTCCTTGGCATTTGACTTGGAGAGTAAGAGAGTAATATTGCTAATGTGAAGAGTGTGCACTTCCATTAGCAGTGTGCACGCTCAGCCAGACTTCCTTTTCCCTCCGTTTCTGGCTGACAGGAGTAGTAGCAGCTGCTGGAGCAAGCCATAGAATGACAAGAGGGAACAGTATTTTTTTTTTTTCCTTTTTAAAGCTGATATTTACATTCTGATAAGAAGTTCCTCATTATATGCATACCTTCTGTAAATTATGGGTAATCTACTCACATAAAATAATAAACACTCCAGAAAGTGGAATAAACTAAGGATGAGACCCAAGGCAGAACTTAACTTGGATTTCTAACTTGTCTTCCTTTGAGCATGTTCTCTTCTATTTCTTCTCCCTCCTCCAAAAGGGAAACAAAGTAAACCCTACCAAAATCCTTGAGATTTGTCTTCTGGCTGTCCTGGCAGACTTACAGAACTTGCATTCAGATACCAGAATGACTGAAACTCTCCTACTCCTGAACAAAAATGGCTTGTGCGGATTTTTGAAGGGTATTTTGCACTTTCTGCTGTGTTATTTGGATCATGTCCAACAAGCATTGTGTCTTGTCTCTTATCTCTTCGAACACATCGTTTACAAAAGGAGCTCTGTAAATCCAAGCTTGCCAAATTTGTATAGCTCCTCTGTTCTGTCTTTCTGCCTTCCCTGACTGAAAGGATGGAAGGGAATTTTGTTTTTATTTTTAGAAAGTGATGTTCTGGGCAAAGAATCAAAATTCCAAGCTAGTTGGTGGTTCTGATCTGCCTCCCAACCCAACTTCCACTCGTGCCCATTGGAGTATTTACATACAAGTCTTCCATTGCCTTGGAGCATCTCTGAGTTTGCTTGTTTATCCTTTAACAAATACAAATCCTTCTAGCGTGCTGTGGGCAGGGATAAAAGCCTGGCCCCGTTGAAGATGATGACAAAACTGCTTATGACTTACTAGGGCACAATTTCATAAAAATGTATGTTGCTGTTAGTATAAACAGCTATATTCAGAAAACAAAACCAAACAAACTTAGTGTTTTTCTTCTCAGACGTGGGGATTTTAATGGGCTCCCAGTTTTCCCTTTGAGGGATTCTCCAACTTGGAACAATTCTTTGTTAAATTTTGCCTGATACTTACCCAGTTTATAAAATCATGTATTTGATTGTCAAACACTTGACTGTGCTTCACACTGTTTAGAGGGTTCTTGGTTAACAGATTAACCAAAGTCAGCAAAGTTCATGTTCAACTTCTGGGGATATACAAGCCATGTGTAGCACTTTCCATGACAAAGGGGAGGAGGGTTGGTGTATTTTAAATCACGAGGCTGGTTTATCATTGCATAAGCCAAATGCTTCTTCTGGGAACCGTATATGAAAGCGCTGAAGCAGATGCTTGTTCTGGAGGGACAGTGTTAGTTCCTTGTAGAATGACTGAAGTGTTGTCAAGCTGAGTGCTGCATTTTATTTGTAATTGCTTATAGTTTTATAGAAAGTGTCCTGTTATTTTAAGATCCACTGATCTAGCTGATGAAAGCATTTTATCAGTCAGCAGAAACACTCTCTGGCTACTCTTTAGTCTGTTTGCATCAGCATTAGCTTTGAAAGAAGAAAAAGTGTTTACATGGATGTACATGTCCACAGATACGCAAGAGGAGATGATTACCTTTGCAGATAGCGAGTGTTCAAGTATGAGAGCTTATGTCCATCAACTCCAGTCCTTGTTCCAGCTGATAATCTTTCTCTACCTTGTGTGCCATTGCCACGTTTCCCAAACATTGGCTTTTCCCTTCTAGTGTGACTTTCTTTCTGTGTTGTTTGCTTCCTTGTAATTCTGCAATGGTCACGATGTTTATCTTCATATTCCCATTTGGAGCTCAAAAAGAGGGCATAATTGGAGCTCTGCCTATGGTAAAACCTATGGTTGGATTTTTCTGATAACCTGTACTTTGCTGTATTTTCTTCACATTGTAGCTTTTGAAGTAGGAAAAACCCTCAATGTGAAGTACCCGGTGTTTTGTGGTGACTCTACACAAATAAATTTTCCAACCAGCTCATTTCAGCCTTTGCTTCCTTTGCTGTCTCTCTGTTTAGATGTATATCAACCCAAAGTTTAGTCTCCCTCATTCCCTGAAATCAGTTCAGTTCCCTCAGTTCAATGCTTTTTTATTTCAACCTGACAAGGAAAAACATGGGAAGAGTACTTCCGATGCATCTGTTGCCAAAAGGTTTTATTTCTGTGGGTCTGATCATCTGAAAAACATCATTTGGATGGGGGACTCAGTCAAGTTACATTGCTAATTCTCAAATAATGCTAGCTTTATAGGAGCGTGTGCTGTTTATTGCTGCTGAGATTTTGTAAAAACGAAATTCCTTCAGATGTTTCGACTTTTGAGCTCTGACAAGATATATGCATCTATCTAGCGGTTTGTATTATTCAAGCTACATCTGTTTGGCATACAACCTGGTAGAACTCGATAGTCTGCAGTGGAATTTGGTATTATTTCTCACTGTGATTATTAGAGTACTCACAAAGCGTTAAGTTAAATAGGTACTTCAGGATACCTTTAAACCCCAGTGAGGTTTCCTTTTGGGGAGGTATGTGCTTGTGAGTTTTAGTTTGGGTTTTTCTTGTATGGCTTAAGTTTTTCAATATCTGAAATTTTGAATGTTTTTATCCGCATCAATTCTAACTGAAGCATGAAGGAGATTTAAATCTGTTTTCATTTAATAACTATTTACCTGATACTTTGTGCATTAAAAATTTATTTTCCTATGAAAGCAAGAACTGTGCATCCCAAATGTAAATATGTATCGCATATAAACATACTGTAAGTTGGGCTTGAACAGTATGTAAAAGGATGTGTGTAAATTGCTGTGCTTTTTGTGTACTAGTATTCTCTGCCTCTGCATTTGAATGTCCTTTGTATATAAGTGCTAGGATTCAGGAACTTGAAAAAAGTAGGTGAGAAGAGTAACTATCCTCCTTGTGCTATGAGGGAGATTAATGTCAGGACATGCATACTTCTCATTTCTACTTAATACACCATCAGCAGCTTCCATGGAAAAAACCTGCCCCAATCTTGCCTACCTGCATCTTCACAGCTGTAAATTAAAATTTATGCAAAGATGATATAAAAGCTTTGATTTACCCTGAAGCTTAAAATTGATCTTCAAAGTGAGATTGTTAATGAGGCAGCTGATATCCAGTCTTGTGGGTTTTTTGTTTTTTATTCATATTGAAGGGTTTTACATATACATAGGTGTGTTTGATATTAGCAGATTAGTTAAATCACTTCAAAATATGTTTTGGTGTATCACACGGCTGTATCTGGCCAGTTGGATTCCAGGGATTGTAATGCTGTTTGAAGTTGCCTAGTTTCAACTTGGCAAGTGCTACTAAAGGTATGTTTTCCCTGCCTTTGGTAATTTTGACATCTGTCATGCTGGTTGGTGTTATTTGTTTTCCATCTCTTTAATTTTACTGATATCTGAGAGGATTTTTAAGGCAATGCAGAGCCACTGACAAGAGTTGCAGGAAATTCCAGTTGAGGGTGCCTGGTGGGTGGAGAGGGTCTGGGTTGGGGAGAGAAGAGCTGTGGATGGTCAACCAGCTACAAAGGGGTACTGACCAGACCTGAAAGCAAAACTGAGCCCGAGCCTCCATAGCACGCAGCAGTGACAGGGTACCAGAAACTCCATAGCCATTTTAACGTTACCCTTTTGAGGAGCAGGATATTTGAGCCTGGAAGAAGTGCTGCATTAAAATGTTTGTGCTTTTTTCAAGCCCCATGCAACTTTATCAGCACACAGAGATGTAAAAATGGTTTAATGCTTTTACTTACAAAATTAAATGTGATTAATATCTGTGAGTGTCTGCCTTGGGTAGCTCTTGTACTGCAGTATTCAGTGACTACTCTTCATGTTTAATAAAGCTGCTTAAAATAGTACCTTTGCTGCAGATCTGTGTTCCTGGGCAGACTCTGCATCCATATTGCTCCAGGTATTGTGTGAGTACATCTTCAGGTACTCCTTACTCTGGGTGCTTTGTTGTCATCTTAGCCAGGATATAAATGGTATGTATTGAAGTGGTTTGCCAAGGTGACAAACTGCACAAAATGTTGCAGTGCTGGAATTAGCAT